ACTTCCTTCCGTGCTGGAACAATTCTGTGAGATTAGGTGAATTTAAAGATAGTTGGGGGTGATGGTGGGAGAGAGATAATGGTAGAGATGTAGAGCTGGGTTGTCAGGTTACAAGTGCAGATGAGCGCTGTACTTTCAGATCATGTCTCAAAGAAGCAGCATGTAGATGAGAAATGGAAGTAGACCAGGGATAGATTCTTTGGGGAAAGCAGGGGCAACAGTGCAGGAGCAGGAAGAGAAACCATTGAAGTGACTCTCTGCCTATGATTAGATGAAAAGGAATGGAATCAGGTGAAGTGACATATTCCAAGTGTTTTGCCAGATTGACAATTAATCAGTCAGAGTCCCAACCCAAAGCCCCTTAAGTATATGTTACACATATAGGACCAAAAGCTTGGTTGAAGTGGTGAAGCGTCTTAAGTAAAGAGAGGCAGATAGGCTCCGGAAAGAATTCCCCCAAGGCATTAACAGCTGAACATTTGGTTACCACTGCTGGAGCAATGGAAGTTGAGGATGGGGATGAAAGCAGAACAGGTCAAACAGTGAGACCTGGTTGTTTTACCTCTTGGCATGTCCTGGCACCTGCCCTTGAACTATAATCATCTTTCCATCTTGAAGTCCACCAAGGATAATCCCAGTGAAAGGGATAATCTGAAATAGAACAAGCAGAACAAAGACTCTATCTTACGTCATGATTCTGTGGTTGTAGAATTTTCGCCATGCAAAAGTCACCTCCTTGTCTCAGGCCACCCCCTCAGTGCTTCTTGTGTCTCTCCTGTGGTAATGGTGATCCCATGCATCTGCTGTCCCTGTCCTTCTAAGTGTTATGGGTGTGGGTTTGGAAGGAGTCTGGTTGAGTTATTGCAATTCGTCTTGACAGTGTATCGCTGCCAGACAAAATGTCCGCTTTGTTCGCGACTTACCGCACCCAATGTTTAACAAAGATAAAAGAAAAAGACTGAGGAACTTCTGTTATCACCAGGTCAACAGCCGGCCCTTCCATCCCTTCACTCATTCCCTCTTCTTTCCCTTTCTAGCGCCCTCACTCACTGTCCTTCACTCATCCTCTCCACACACTCTCTCCCTCATTCTCGCATCTCTTACCTTCATTCTCTCTCCTTCATACCCTCAATCTCTCCCTCATTCTCGCTGTCCTACTCTCTCTTTCAGTCTCTCTCTGTCTAACTCTCAGTCCCTATCGTTCTCTTCCTTATCACTCCCTCCCTTCACTACCTCCTCCAAAAACCTCTCTGCTCTCCCTCGCACCTTCCAGCTCCTCTCTCCCTCAGTGCCTCGCTCTTCTCCCTCTCCTTCACTCTGTCCCTTGCGTTCTCATTCTCTTTATCTCACAGTCTTTCACACACTATAATTACCGTCCTGTGAATTCGTTCTCTTACTCCTCATGAATTCAACACAACAATGCGGTTAGTCGGAGGAAATAATCAGCGGAGAAGCGATGGAGTTTTGGGGCAGTTATTATTTGCGAGTGAGGAATGGGGATTGCGGGGACTGGGGCAGTTTGCTGATACATACCGGGTTATAGATGGGCTGCTGCTCCATTCTGTCCTAATGCAAATCTCTGGTGCTGGTGTGTGTCCGCCTGAAATTACCAACTGCTATGTCACTCTCGCAAATACAGTCAGGATCAGAGTCCGCTCTCAAAAAGAAACGAAACTCATGTTTAGTTTCGATTCTCATCAGAAACGTGCTCCGCCAGCTTCTCCCAATGCCTATCAACGCCAGCTTTAAGTTCTAGGCCTATTCACATTAACAATTTTGTGATATGGCTTATTACTGTTACTGGATCGGCTAGCATTGTTTTCCTTCTAACAGAGGAGGCTGAGGGGAAGCTGATTGAAGTGAACAAAGTTCTGAGGGCGGCCGGGATAGGTAGACCTTTCCCCTTAGCAGGGGAGTAAATAACTAATTTTATGGTGAGAAGCAGGAGATTTGTAGGGGATTTGAGGAAAATAATTTTCACTCAGAGGGTGGTGGGTATCTAGAATTCAATGTCTAAAAATGTGAGACACGTGTTAAGTTCGTCCCACTCTTCTGTCACATTCGCACTTAAACTCAATGAAAAGAAAATTCCGCTAAAGATTTAAAAATACTCCTGTGTCAGTCTGCAGGACGGAACGGTGGCAGTTCCTACTATGAGATAACAAGGTGTAGAGCTGGATTAACGCAGCAGGCCAAGCAGCATCAGAAGAGCAGGAAGGCTGACGTTTCGGGCCGAGACCCAGAACCAGGATTTCTTTTCTCTCAGGTTGTAGTCATTTTGTGGAATTATTTACGACAGAGGGCTGTCAAAACTGGGTCATTAAGTATATTAGAATCATAGAATCTTACAGGTACCAAAGAGGCCCTTTGGCCCATCAGGTCAGTACCACCAAAAATACACTACTCCCACTTTCCAAGGCCTTCCACTTTTGGTCTTGAATGTTATGACACTTCAAGTGTTCATCCAAGTACTTTTTAAAGGTTGTAAAGTTTCTGCCTCAACTACTTTCCCAGGCAATGGATTCCAGACCCTCACCACCCTATGGGTGAAAAGGTTTTTCCTCAAATCCCATCTAAACCTCTTGCCTTTCACTTTAAAATTATGTGCCCTTGTTGTTGACCCTTCATCTAAAGGAAACAGCTGTTACCTATTCATCCTGTCTATGCTCCTTATAACTTAATACACTTCTAGCAGGTAGCCCCTCAACCTTCTCTGCTCCAGAGAAAATAACCGGAGTTTATTCAGCCTCTCTTCACAGCTGAAAAATCCAATCCCAGGCAACATCATGTTGAGTTCTAAGGAACGATCACTTGACCCAAAACGTTAATTCTGATTTCTCTCCACAGATGCTGCAAAACATACTGAGCTTTTCCAGAAATTTCTGTTTGTAACATCCTGGTGAATCTCCTCTGTACCGACTTCAGGGCAATCACATCCTTCCTACAGTGTGGTGACCAGAACTACACATAATATTCCAACTCTGGCTAACCAAAATTCCAGCATGACCTCTCTGTTCATATAATTTATGCCACAGCTCATAAGGCAAGCATCCCATATGTCTTCTTACCTGACTAACCTATCCCACTACCTTCTGTGGTACAAGGTCCCCAAGATCCCTCTGTTCCTCTGTTTCCTAGTGTCCTGCCATTCATTGAGTGCTTCACAGTCATGGTCCTTCTTTCAAAGTACATCACCTCACATTCATCAGGGTTAGACCATAATATATAGAAGCATAATTAGGCCATTCGGCCCATCAACTGCTCTGCCATTCAATCATGGTTGATATGTTTCTCAATCCCATTTCCTACCACTGATGTTTGACTCACTGCTCAACAGTTCCCTGGTCCATCTATACGTACACTTTTTGGAAAGTAAAACTGCATTAGCTGTCTTCCAGTTCTCTGACACCTCCTCTGTGGCAGGAGATGCAATAAAATTTTGGTCAGAACCCCTGTAGTTTTCTCCCTCAGATCCCACAGCGATGTGGGATATAACTCTTGTGGATCTGGGGATGTGTCCACTTTTAAATCTGTCAAAACCTCCAATACCTCCTTGCTTCTTACATTTATCTGCTCAAAAACTTCTCAGTTCATCTTTTCAAATTCCGTATTTGCATCCTTCTTCTCCCAAGTAAAGACAGATGTGAAGTTCTCATTTAACACTCTCCCAATGCCCTCTAGCTTCACACACAGATTGCCCCCTTGGCACCGAATAGCCTCTACTCTTTCCGTTGGTTATTCTCTTCCACTTGATATACTTGTAGAATATCTTGGGATTCTCCCCAGTCTTGCCTGCCAGTATTTTCTCAAGTCCCCTCTTGGGTCTCCTAATTGCTTTCTTGAGCTCCCTTGCACTTCCTGTCCTCCGCTATGGCCTCCGTTGTTTTGCTCCCTTTGTACCTTTTATATATCGCGTTTTCCTTTTCATCCAGCCCCGCATATTTCTAGACATCCAGGGTTCTCTGGACCTGTTGGTCCTACATTTCACCCTAAAGGGAATATGTTGGGCCTGCACTCCCCCAGTAGCTTTTTGAACCCACTGCTGTGTTGCAGATTTACCCTCAAGTAGTTGTTCTGAGTCTACTTTTTCTTGTGTTCATGGCTGAGATGGACAATTTTTAATCAATAAAAGAATCAAGGATTATGGGAATAAGTCAGGAAAATGTATTATCAGATCAGCCAGAATCTCACGGAATGGCAGTAACACTGCTAAATCAACAAGGAGTTGTGTCTAACCGGTTTCCTTGTGGTTTGAACATCAATCAATTTTAAGGCATTTGTTGCTTTAAAATGGGGATAATGGTAAGACTAGGGGGCATATTCTTAAGGTGAGAGGAGAGAGATTTAAAAAAGACATGAAGGCAAATTTTTCACACATCAGAGTGGTTCGCGTGTGCAATGAACTTCCTGAGGAAGTGATGAATGCGGGACATAGTTATAATGTTTAAAAGACACTTAGCTAAGTCCATGAATAGAAAAGGTTGGGAGGGATATAGGCTAGGAGCAGGCAGGTGGGACTAGTTTAGTTTGGGATTATGTTCAGCATGGACTGATTGGACCGAAGGGTCTGTTTCTCTGCTGTATGACCTATGACTCTACGACCATGACTCTATCAGCCGTGATCTTATCAAATGGTGGTGCAGGCTGCTGCAGTTCCCTCCTGTATGTACTTTTATGTTTGGTGCCAGTGACGTCATTGAGTTCGAATGGTTCACAGTGTGTTTTTCTTCTGTTATGTAAGATAATCACAAATAAATCTAATGAAGCATTCAACAAAAACCCCTTCACCCAGAAAGTGGTGAGGATTCCCTCCCTAAAGATATTATGGGTCAACCTACAGCGTGTGGACTGTCACGGTTTAAGAAGACAGCTCCCTAGCACCTTCTCAAAGGCAACTAAGGATGGGCGATAAATGCTGGCCTAGCCAGAATTGCCTACTTCCCACAAATGAATAAAAAATAATGGAACTCATGACCACAATGAGAGTTTGAGGTGAATATCATAGATATGGTGAAGAGAGAGAAAACAAGGAATTATAGACCAGTAAGCCTAACATTGGTAGTGGGGAAAATTCTTAAATCCATTATCAACAACTTTACAGCAGAGCATTTAGAAAGCAGTGGCAGGGTCAGACAGAGTCAGCATGGATTTATGAAGGGGAAATCATGCTTGTCAAATCTGTTAGAATTCTATGAAGATGTGACTAGTAGAGTTGACAAGGGGGATCCACTTGATGTGGTATAATTGGACTTTCAGAAAGTGTTTGACAAAGTCCCACATAAGAGATTATTTTCATAGAATCCCTACAGTGTGGAAACAGGCTCTTTGGCCCAACAATTCCACACTGAACCTCAGAGCATCCCACCCAGACCCATCCCCCTAATGTACACCCTCTACCTCCCTGAACACTACAGGCAATTTAGCATGGCCAATCCACCTAACCTGCACATCTTTGGACTGTGGGAGGAAACTGGAGCACCCGGAGGAAACCCACGCAGACACAGGGAGAATGTGCAAACTCCACACAGACAGTCGCCTGAGGCTGGAATCGAACCCAGGTCCCTGGTGCTGAGTCTGCAGTGCTAACTGCTGTGCCACCGTGCCGCCCCAATTTTGCAAGATTAAGTGCATGGGATTGGGGGATGTGTATTGAGATGGATAGAAAACTGGTTAGCAGGGATGAAAGAGACAGTAGGAATTACTGGGTCCTTTTCAAATTGGCAGGCCGTAACTAGTGGGGTGCCACAGGGATCGGTGCTGGGACCCCAGCTATTTATACTATATATAAATGATTTGGATGAGGAAACAAAATGTAACATCTCAAAGTTTGCAGATTATACCAAGTTGAGTGGGATGGTGAACTGTGATAAGGATGCAGAGATTCTTCAGCATGATCTGGGCAGGTTGGGTGAGCGGGCAAATCAATGGCAGATGCAGTATAATTGGGATAAACGTGAGGCTATTCACTTTGGAAGCAAAATGGTGGCTCAGCACGGTGGAAGCAAAAGGGCGGCAAGGTGGCTCAGTGGTTAGACGTTGCTGCCCCACAGCACCAGGAGCCCAGGTTCAATTCCAGCCTCAGGCGACTGTCTGTGTGGCGTCTGCATGCTCTCCCCGTGTCTGTGTGGGTTTTCTCCGGGTGCTCCGGTTTCCTCCTACAGTCTAAAGATGTGCAGGCTAGGTGGATTGGTCATGCTTAAATTGCCCATAGTGTTCAGGGATGTGTAGATTAGGTGGGTTATAGGGGGATGGGTCTGGGTGGGATGTTCTGAGAGTCAGTGTGGACTTGTTGGCATGAAGGGCCTGTTTCCACACTGTAGGGATTCTATGAAAACAAGAAAGCAGATTACTACCTGAATGGCTCTAAATTGGGAGAGGGGAGTGTGCAGCGGGACCTGGCCGTCCTTGTGCACCAGTCGCTGAAGGTGAGCATACAGGTGCAGCAGGTGGTAAAGAAGGCAAATGGCATATTGGCCTTCATTGCGAAAGGTTTCGAGTACAGCAGCAGGGATGTGTTGTTGCAGTTATACAGGGCCTTGGTGAGGCCACACCTAGAATATTGTGTGCAGTTTTGGTCTCCTTTTCTGAGGAAGGATGCCCTTGCTCTCGAGGGAGTGCAGCGATCGTTTACCAGGCTGATTCCGGTGATGGTGGGACTGACAAATGAGGAGAGATTGACTAGGTTAGAATTGTTTTCGCTGGAGTTCAGACAAATGAGGGGGGAATTTCATCAGAGACTTATAAAATTCTAACAAGACTAGGCAGGGTAAATGCAGAGAGGATGTTCCCAAAGGTGGATGCATCCAGAACCAGGAACCACAGTCTGAGGATTTGGGGTAGACCAATTAGAAGGGAGGTGAGGAGACATTTCTTCACCCAAAGAATGGTGAGCCTGTGGAATTCATTACCACAGGAAGTAGTTGATGCCAAAACATTGAATGTATGCAAGAGGCATCTAAATATAGGACTTGGGGTGAAAGGGATCAAAAGTTATAGAGAGAAAACAGGATAAGGCTATTGAGTTGGACAATCAGCCATGATCATGATGAATGGCAGAGCAGGTTTAAAAGGCCAAATGGGCTCCTCCTGCTTCTATCTTCTTCGTTTCTAAGAGAAGAATGAGTAGATGTATACAAGGAAAACAGATGTTGATGGTTTTGCTGAGAGGATGACAGGAAGCTGTGGAATATTAAAACAGAAAGAACTGCGGATGGATTTTCTGCTTGGGGACCCTGCAGCCCTCCAGACTCAATATCAAGTTCAATAATTTTAAGGCCTAAACTCTCCCATGTCCCAGCCCCTACCCCACACACCAGGCCTTGTTACCACATAGCCTGCTATCACACATCACCTGTTGTTAGTCAGTAATAGTCCCCATTAACAACTATTCACCCTCCCAGCCTGATCGTTATCAACTCTTTGTCTTTCCAACTACTCTTCTCTCTCTTAAGGCTCCATCCTATCATTTACACCCTACTTCATCCCCCTTACTTTTTTTCTGCATATAAACAGACGCTTTCCCAGCCACCATCAGTTCTGAGGAAGGGTCACTGGGCCCGAAAGGTTAACTTTGTTTTTTCCTTCACAGACCTGCTGAGCTTTTCCAGCAACTTTGTTTTGGTTCCTGTGGAGTATAAAGACTAGTGCAGAGCAGTCAGTCTGAAGGTCTATGTCTCTATAGGCAATATCATTCAATAGAATAACCTTTAGTTCAGGGAGAAATATTGGTCAAGACACCAAGGAGAGCTGTCTTTACTCTCCTGTGAAATGGTGACCAGGTTAATAAATTAACTCCTTTGACGCTGACATTGTCTCACCTCTGGGTTTAAGACACACAAAGTACACAGCTTTACACAAAGGGAGAATTGAACCTGAGTCCTCCAGTCCTGTATGGTTTAGTGCATATTCCATTTACCAGCTGAGGCACAGGCATATGTTTTCTGACAAAACAGGACCATGACAACATTTATTCCCATATTTATTGTGCTTATTGTTTACTGAGACATCAGCCTTGACTGAGCAGCCACTTCTTCTCTCCTGATCATAAGATTCAAAATTAAGGGTTAGAATCAAAGAATTTGAACGTATTACCTTGGCTGACATTGAAACTAAGGGAGCGCTGCACTATCAGAGGCATGTTGTCTTAAAGGTGAGATACCAACTCTACCCTGCGGTAAGTCCCATGACAGTAACTCAAATAAGAACAGTCAAGTTCTCCCCAGAGTCCTGGCCAATATTTATCCCTCAATCAACATCACGAAAACAGATGAACTGGTCGTTATCAATTCGCTGTAAGTGTACGCAATTTTGCCACATTTCTTACATTTTAACAGTGACTACGTTTCAGAAGTGGTCAATTGTCTGTAAAGTGCCAGGTCTCACTCTTTGAAGACCCTAAACTGTTCCTCCCCCAAATCCATGTGACATTATCATAGTGGCTGGCGCTTATGGAACTCCTCAAGTTTAACCCTTCCAAAAACTATTTACATCTCCCCGAGGCTTTTCTTCATTATTATTATGATATACTTGTGCATAAAATTACACTTAACATTGCCTAATCTGCCCCATTCTCTGACTTTCTAAATTCAGGTAATCTGTTCTACCAGCACATGTTCTCTTTGGATTTGGAGCCTGATAGTTTGGTGTGCCTGACCATGGTCTCTAGGTCTCTTTAAACTGGAGGATCTTCAATCTCTTGGATCTCCTTCACAGAGGACTTGTTTCCTGTTGAAACAGGTAGTTTATTCATTGTTGTATCTTAAATCACTGGACATTGGTCATCCCTCCTCAGTGATGATTTCCATGGAATTGTGTGCACCACATCTTCAATCCGTGTTGGCAGACTTTTATTCTCAATGATCTGTCCATTTGTGCTGAATTATGCCAGTAATTTACTTCAACATATCGGTTGGTTTGGACTCCCTCATTCGCCCCCAGCGATTGCATTATTAATGAAAGCAACATTTCACTTGTTCAGTCTTGCTATTTGAGGATTAGTTCTTGCTTGGCATGATCTATGTCACAGTTACTATGCATTCTTCACGGGAAATGAGGAAACCAAAACTTTGTTTGAACTTATCTCTTCTGAGTCACCTTGGAATCCAACATTAGATTTGAAACCACAGTTGCTATTCGTTCATCAGGCTGTGTTGTAGTCCAAGTTGCATTGGTTGTAGCTTGTCAGGTTAGGTATGGTGTTTATTCCCTATCTCATTGCTTGTTTTCCCTCACATCAGAGATGAGGAACCTGAGCGAATGGAATGGAGGTTTTCCTAGTTTCTCCATATCCATCACATCAGTTCTGATGATGCCACCTTCTGTAAGGTAGGTCCTCAGAAATTTCCACCTTTCTCCTCAACCAAGGATTTCCTGCCCCAGATGTTGACAGCACCCTTAGCTGTGTCCAACCCCTTCCCGCACTTCTGCTCTCACCCCTTCTCTGTCCTTCCTTGACACTGATAGGGTGCCCCGGTCCTCACTTTGTATCCCACCAGCATCCACATCCAAAGGATTTTCAGGTGCCATTTCTGAGTCCTCCAGCGGAATGCTACCACTGGACTCCTATTCCCCTCCCCTCCCTTGTCAGCATTTTGCAGGGATCATTTCCTTCAAGGCACACTGGTCCACTCCTCCTCCAATACCACATTTCTCCACGCACCACAGCACCTTCCCATGATATTGCAGAAGGTGCAACACTTGCCCATTTACGTCCTCCCTTCTCATTATCCAAGGTCCCAGAAGCACCATGTAAGTGAACTAATGGTTTACCTGCACTTCACTCAATCTTGTCTACCATATTCACCACTCACAATGTGCTCTCCTCTACACTGGGGCGACGAAACACAGACTGGGTGACTGCTTTGTGGAACTCGTATGGTCTGTCCGCAAAATGTTCCCAAGCTTCCAGTTGCCCTCCACTTCAACATCTGGCCAAAATTTCTTTCTTGGGCATGCTACAGTGCTCCAGTGAAGCTCAACGCAAGCTGGAAGAACAGCATCTCATTTTCTGTTCGGACACCCTGCAACCTTCAGGACTCAATATTGAATTCAATAATTTTATAATCTGAACACCTTTTTCCATGTCCATTTCCCATACCCAGACCTCAGACCCTGTAATGTACAACCCATGTTTGTCTTTTTTTTCAATTCATTCATGGGATGAGGGCATTCTGGTTATGCCAGCATTTATTGCCCAGAGGGCATTTAAGAGTCAACCACATCACTGTGGGTCTGGAATCCAGACATTTAGGAGAGCTAATGTTTCGGGTCTGGTGACCCTTCCTCAGAACTGATGGTGACTGGGAAAATGTCAGTTTATATGCAGAAAATAGGGAGGTGGGTGTGGTAGTTACTAACGATCAGGCTGGGAGGATGAAGAGTTGTTAATGAAGACTGTTAATGATTAACAACAGCGGGTGTGTAATGGCAGGCTATGTGGTAACAAGGCCTGGTGTGTGGGGTAGGGGGCTGGGACATGGGACAGTTCAGGACCTAAAATTATTGAACTCAATATTGAGTCCGGAGGGCAGTAGGGTCCCCAAGTGGAAAAATGAGGCATTGTTCCTCCAGTTTGTGTTGGGCTTTGCTGGAACACTGCAGCAAGCCAGAGACAGAGATGTTGGCCCCGGAGCAGGGTGGTGCGTTAAACTGGCAGGCAACAGGTAGTTCAGGGTCTTTTTTGAGAGCAGAACGTAGATGTTCTGTGAAGCGGTCGCCAAGTCTACGCTTCGTTTCCCCAATGTGGAGCCTCCCAGCCTGATCGTTAGCAACTTCTTTGTCTGTCCAACTGTCTTTCTCTCTCTTTGGGCTCTATCCTATCATTTACTCCCTACCCCACCCACCTCCCTATTTTCTGCATGTAAACTGACGTTTTCCCAGCCCCCATCAGTTTTGAGGAAGGGTCACCAGACCCAAAACATTAACTCTTCACAGATGCTGCCAGACCTGCTGAGCTTTTCCAGCAACTTTGTTTTTGTTCCTGATTTACAGCATCTGCAGTTCTTTCAGTTTTTATTTAGGAGAGCAGTTTCCTTTCCTAAAAATCCTTAGTGAATCAGATGGGTTTCCAACAATCAACAATGGATTCATGGTTATCAGTAGATTCTTAATTCCAGATTTTTTTGAATTCACATTCCACCATCTGCCATGGCAGGACTTGAACCCAAGTCCCCAGAATATGCTGTAGGTCTCTGTATTAACAGGCTGGCAATAAGACCACTCGGCCTTCGCTTCCCCATTATTTATGGTTCACATCATCAGATTTTCTTTCTCCCTGGCATATTATCATCCATTCCTTTGTCTGTCTGTCATTCTCTCTCTGCCTGGGACATGGGGTAAGTGAACTGGTTGCATAAAATAACCCCAGTTTCTGCAGACAAGCTCTGTCAGTGAAACTTTTGTTTATCAGGAGCAGGAAAACCAGCAAACTTTTGAACAGCCGAACAGTCTGCATCTGTTCAAATTCTCAAGGACAAATGAAATGGATGAAAATGTAGGTGGTCTGATTAATTAATAAGTTTGCAGCTGATAGAAAAATTGGTGGAGTTGTGGATAATGAGGAAGGTTGTCAAAGGATACAACAGTATACAGATCAGTTGGAAATTTGGCTGGAGAAATGGCAGATGGAATTCAATCTCATGTGAGGTGGTGCATTTTTGGAGGCCAAATACAAGAGGAAATTATATGGTAAATTGCAAGATCCTTAGGAACACTGATATGCAGAGGGATCTTGGGGTTCAAGCCCATAGCTCCCTGAAAGCGGCACACAAGTGAATAAAGTGGTAAAGTAGGTGTATGGTGTGCTTGTCTTCATCGGTCAGGTCATTGAGTATAAAGCTGGCAGGTCATGCTGCACCTGTGTAAAATTTCAGTTAGGCCACATTTGGAGTATTGTGAACATTTCTGGTTCAACACTGCAGAGGCTTTGAAGTGGATGCAAAAGAGGCTTACCAGGATGTTGTCTGGATTGGGGTGTATTAGCTATAACAAGAGGTTGGACAAACTTGGATTGTTTTGGTGAGAGCCCAGAATTGAGGGACAAACTAATGGAAGTATATAAAGTTATGAGAGGCATAGATAGCGTGGATAGTCAGGGTATTTTAGTCATGGTGTCTGAGTAATATTGAACTCTCGAAGTAAAATTGCAGCAGGGGACAGCTACCTCCCAAGCTGTTCCTTCAATATCCTGACTCAAAATCTTGTAGTCTCTAATGGTATTGTGGGTCTACCTACAGCACATGGACTTCGGTGGTTTAAGAATGCAGCTCACCACTACCTTCTCAATGGCAGCTAGAGATGGACAATAAATCCTCATAGAATCATCATCATAGAATCCCTACAGTGTGGAAATATGCTCTTCGGCCCAACAAGTCCACACCGACCCTCGGAGCATCCTGCCCTGACCCATCCCCCTATAACCCACCTAATCTACACATTCCTGAACACTACAGGCAATTTAGCATGGCCAATCCACCTAGCCTGCACATCTTTGGACTGTGAGAGGAAGACAATCAGATCCCATGAAAGAATCATTTTTAAATTATTGTCATCTCAATCTAGGCTCCTTAAGCACTGGATAATGGTTTGTTACTCTATTGCAACGCTTCATAATTTTAAACACTGCTGTAAAGTCACTTTTGACTTCAAATGTAAACAAGTCAATTTGGGCCACATGGGAATTGAAAATTTCCTGGATACATTAAGAGATCTGTGTAGAAATTTTGGGTGATCATCACAGGATTGGAAGAGGGAGGAAAGAAATTCAGTGCACGGCCCAGAAGGATGGCCCTCACAAAACATTTATCAATATTGAATATGGCGAGGGCAGAGACAGTGTGAAAGGAAAGCATGACAACATGAGATGGGAGAGCATTATAATGACTGGACAGAGGTCAGCAGGTGGACTTCATAAAATATGAGTTCCCTCATTGGGGCTGTTAGCATTGTTCAATCAGAGAGTCCTGCCTGATAGATATAAACAGGAGTGACAGGGTTCTGCTCGCTCCAGGAGCCGGCTTTGAACTAGCTAGGTTAGTGTCATGTACTATACATGTATAAATAAAGGAGGAATTTGGTCACGGCATACTGGCCTTCGTGGAGGTATTTCAGGAGCCAATAAGGGTGGTTGGGAACATCATCAAGTGTAGGATTAAAGTAATTGTGGAGTTTCAATAGAATGGGGAAAGATGCTGATGTGAATCTAATGAGTTCCCTGGTGCCAGTGTAGTGGACATTGAAGACAATGTGCAGAACATTGTGAAGGGGATGGGGAACATCTGGAAACTATGATCTATACAGAACTTATGTTGTATGAAGGGAAAGGATTGTGGGGAAAGGCTCTGAAGAAGGGTCACTGGACCCGAAACATTAACTCTGATTTCTCTCCACAGATGCTATCAGACTTGCTGAGTTTTCCCAGCAATTTATGTTTTTGTTTTGGAAAGGCTTGGGGTCCTGCATTCAAATTTTTCATCATAGAATCCCAATGGTGCAGATAGAGGCCATTCAGCCCAGCGAGTCTGCACTGGCCATCTAAAGAATCACACCCAGACCCATCCCATCGCTATAACCCTGCATTTACCATGGCTAATCCACCTAGCCTGCACATTCCTGGACACTATGGGGCAGTTTACCATGGCCAAACCACCTGGGCTGTGAAGGGAAGCAAAGCACCTGGCGGAAACCCACACAAATACAGGGAGAATGTGCAACGTCCACACAGACAGTCACCCAAACCTGGAATTGAAACCAGGTCCCTGGTCCTGTGAGGCAGCAGTACTAACCACTGAGCCACCTTGCAGCCTAAAAGCATCGTCTTATCAGGGACTTAAACCCGGGACCCTCAGATTAAAAGTTTGATGCTTTAATGACTGAGCTATCCGGAGCCAAGAAGGAATTTAAGACTCCTAGTGCCACACACTAGTGTTTCCAGGAATTATCAAAGAACAATGAACAATTATTAACACTCATGTCTGCAGAGTAGCTGCAGGAAGAAGGGCTTCACAGTTCTGGGATGGGTGTGGGGACATGTGATATCTGACTATAATAAATAGGTTGCAGCCAGAATTGTCCCTAGGGCTGGGAAAATCAGGGAAACTGTCCAAAGTCCAGCATTTTGGGGAGCACTGTGCAGGACCATAGCCACCTGGGAGGAACCAGCAGAAAAAGTTGAAGAGGCAAGGGATGTGAGGGTACCCAGTTCAATGTGCTTTGCCTGGGCATCATTCTCCCTTAGGAACAGCTCTATTTTCAGATCAAGTGTTTGGGAACCAATTCATTGATGGGAGATTATATATTTCTACCCCACAGAGAGAAGTCAAACTAATCTACCAGGACAAGACCCTGGGATGAAAGTGCAATCATCTGACAGGGATGCCTGAGCCCAATGGAACTGATGAGGTGAGCCATTACATATTAATTAAGGGACTTGCCTGCATGTATATGTATGAGAAACAAGTCATAAGTGATGCCGGAGGTTTGTGATGCATGAGACAGAATAAAATGTTGTCTGGGAAAGTATATGCCTGGATTAGTTAACCAATCTTTAACCTCTAGTGTTTAACAAAGGGGAAGAGAAACAAGCTGCCCAGAAATTACTACATAGGACAATGATATTGTGCCTATGAGAGAGACCTACCTCAAATAAAAGGAGGATCGGTTGCCTATAATATTCATGGCTACAAATCATTCAGGAAAAATAGGAAAGGAAAAATTGAAGGGAAGTAATAATAATGATCAAAGCATTACTACAGCAGTGTATATGGAAAGGGGCTATCCAAATAATGAGAAGGAAACAGAGGATCAAATTTAAAGATACATTAGATTTGTGTAATTGTGGGTGACTTCAATGCTGCTAGCATGTGTGTGTGAGTCACCATAGTCTTACCAGACCACTGGGCAGACCAGGAGAGTTAAAGCATGAAGACAGAGAGGGGGTCTTCCTGAAATTTGTGCAACAAAGAAATTACTTCAACAACATGTTTCTAGTCCATCAAGGTGGGGGGTAATGCTGGTTCTAGTTCACCTTAAACCTATTCCCCCTAGTATTTCACATTGTCACCCTGGGAAACAGACTCCAACTTTCCACCCTATCCATTCCTCTAATAATTATATATACTTCTGTCAGGTCGCCCCTCCCCCTCCGATGCTCTAGCAGAAATAATCCACATTTGTCCAACCTCTCCTTACAGTTAATACACTCCAAGCCAGACAACATCCTGGTAAATTTCAGAACCCTCTCCAAAGCCTACTGCACCGATCAGAACAGCACACAGTACTCCAAATGTGACCTGACTACAGTTTGCAACATAACTTGCCAACTTTTATATTTAATGCCAAGATCCCTCTGTATATCAATGTTCCTAAGGATCCTGCCATTTACTGTATATTTTCTTCTTGCATTTGACCTCCTCAAAATGCACCACCTCACTTGTCGATGACGGATAGACTTTGGGGAAGTGAGTTACTTGAATAATTCCCAGCCTCTGACCTGCTCTTGTAGCCACAGTATATATGGCTGATCCAGTTCAATTTCGAGTAAATGGTAAACCCCATGATTTTGATAGTGAGGGTTCCAATATTGGTATTGCACTCAATACAGTGTTGTAAACTTCAATCAAATCATCTATTACCTTCTAACTGCTTCATAATTTAATCTTTGGAGCCTTTCTAATATTCTGGGAGATCCACACTGCATTGCCTCCGCAGACAGTACCTTCTTTCTAAGGTGTGTTCCCCAGACCTGCACCTGTGGCTTCAGGTGTGATCTAATAATATGACTGTAGCGTAACTTCTCACTTCCTGTTTTTGCTAGTTGGCTTAGATCAAAGACCAGCAGTCCATTAGACATGTGAATTATTTTCTGTAACAGTTTAACAATCTGTTTACCGGCATGCCCAAGTCTCTTCAAATTCCATTGATTTTGACTTTTCATGGTTTTGAAAGTCCCCATCCTAAAGACAAGTGATAAGGAATAGTCTACACTGGCCGACAGTTCAACATTTAAGCATTGCTGAGAAAAGGTGCATTTTGTCAAAACTTTTCAACTTGCGCTCATCAGGACAATTCACAAGAATACCAGTTTGAGGGGAAAACCAAGATTAGATTTCAGGTGTGAGTCTGGAGTGCCAGGGAATGCAGCTTCTTGGATAAGAGATGTCATGTTCACTGACTTTGTCCACCCTTGCGGGATTTTAAAACTTATGGTACTGCTGCCAGATCTTCATGTCCAGCCTTTGGGGGAAATCCCTGTTCCCATTCCTGTCATCAAGAGTCCTTGAGGGCCTGCTAGTGACTCTCCTCCAGCCCAACTCCAGCACCAATGTCACATCATTCCCCTCTGCCCCCGTCTTCTTAGTTCTAATTTTCAAACTGTCTTAACATTATTTAGTACAGCTTCCCATTATGAGGGACAGCTTGCCATTAAAAACAGCAACAGAAGCTGTTCAGACCACATTACAGAATTGCTAAAGTAGTACATTAAGCCACATTTGTTTCTAACTTGCAAGTGAACAGGAGAGGGCAGGTCACAAGAAGTGGAGAAAATAAATTGCTTACCCCATATTTTGGATTGTTTATGAAATAAGACAACTGTTTGTTTTACAGATCTGCTGTGTTTGGCTTTCCATCACTTGTCTTCAGGGAGTTGATGGAATAGAATTACTAAACGAAAATAAAAATGAAGAACCAAAAATGTTAACAACAGCCTTTGAGCTAACAAAGAAAACTGGAACATCATCAAGGAACGTATGTGGAACCTTTATGACAAATTGGTTAGGCCACATCTAGAGTACTGTGGCCAATTCTGGACGCATACTTTAGGAAAGATGTCAAGGTTCAGAGAGGGTGCAGAAGAGATTGGTTGGAATGGGACCAGCAATGGGGGATTGCTCAGGTGAGATGCAAAAGCTTGAGTAAATAAGAAGGAAGTGTCCCCAGTGGCAGAAGACTCAGTACAAGGAGAACTCAGATTTGCGGTGACGAGAGAAGCAACACAGACGTCAGGAGGAAAACATATTTTACAAGAGAGCTTGGTCTGGAAGCATTTCCTGAAAAAGCAGAAGAAACCGATTCAATGGCAAACATTAAATTACATACTTAAACGGGAAATATCTGCAGGAAAATTCAGAAAGAGCAGGTATTTTGGCATTAATTGGATAGCTATTTCAAATTGTGGGCATGGACTTGGGGGACAAATGGCCACCTTTGCAGCTACAATTCTACGATTCTAGATCTTCATATTTACATTTCTGCTACCCATCAACGTTCTGTCAGTATCTGTAGACAGAAAGCAGAGATATTCCATCAATTGCAATTTTTGTTTTTGGACAACATCCAGGTTTAAATTAAAATATTGCTAGTAACATTTATGCCAGGGATTAACCATTTCCATTTAGACAGAATCTAACCACCGCCCTTGATATTCATTGGTATTACCATCAGTGAATCCCCACTAACAACATCCTGGAGGTTACCATGGAGTATAAACTGAACTGCATTTAAATAACTCCAGAGAGGCTGGTATTCTGTCACCAAGTCACCCTTTATTTACAACAAACAGTCCTTGACTTTAGTACCGCCCCATTCAGAGCTGGTTATCAGAATGGCAATATCTCTGACACTCCATCTCTGAGTCTGACTCATAACAACAAAATAAAGTTCCTCTGACTCTGAAAATAAAAAAGACATTCGCTCAAGTCCATCCCCATCAAACATTCCTGTGTTGGGGACAACAAGGGGAAACTGAAAATAAAGTTCCCCTCACACCGATCCCATCAAATAATTCCGGGACAGGGATAACAGCAGGTAAGATAAAAGCTCCTTTAATCCTTTCAAGGAGTTCAAAACGATAATAAGGAAAAATAAAGCAGCCCCTGCTGAGGCACCATACTGGGATCAAACATAACCAAAAACAGAAACTGATACAACGGAACAGAAACTTACTAAATTAATATTTCATTTCCTAGACTTATGATGCACTCGCAGCGCCCTTTGGTGTCAAAAGCCCTTTACCGTACCAGTCAGCATCACATGCTCCCTCTCCAGGGACATCTGAGCATGGAGGTAACTGGCAAGAGGGGCAGACAGTCAGAAACGATGAACCCCTCCACAGCCTGCTGCCTGGACCTGTTAATGGCCACCTTGGCCAGGCTCAGGAGCACAGCCACATAAAGGCCTTTAGACTTGACCCCCCTCCACTCTGCGTGCCCGTCAATCAGGAGTGTGGGGCTAAAGTTCAGCCAAAAATTAAGCAGCAGTCCCTTCAAAAATTAAAGATTGACTGCAAACAGACATATTCCACATAGACATAGAAAACCGTCTCCTCCAGGCCACAAAGACGTACATGTTGTCTGGCTCCACTTTCAAGGGACTGATGCACGCAGCGCTCTCAACTGAGATCCCGGATATAAGAGGGGAGCACCCCTATGTAGAGGGCCCTCCACTGGGATTCTCCACCACCGGAGGGCAAAACGTCATGCCAAGGGATGTCCAGGCCGTGGGCAAAGGCATAGCAGTGGAAAGTGTGCAGCATTATCCCAAAGGGATAACATCTCCATGATGTCCGAAAGGGCACCAGAAGGATATCCTTGAGATGTCTCAGATTGTGGGGCACCATGTCAAGGGAGAGGGGTCTCTGGTGCGGGGCTGATGTCAAGTTCCAGAGAGACAGGGATCAGTTTGTCTGGAAGCCCACCACACACTTGAACTGCCTCAAATGCACGCAAGGTGTTAGTGCCAAGTGACTTGATGGTCAGACTCCAGATGGCACAGGTTGCAAACCAGATGGCAACAATGCCCTCTCAGCCAACTGCACCAGTGTCATCCAACCTGCTCCTCAACCATCCAGCGCATCCCTGACTCTGGTCAGACCTGCATCCCTAGTTCTCTGCTCCCTTGGCCAATGAAAACCATGCTTGAGGAGGAACCTGTTCCTGAACAACGGCTCCCTGACGAAAGCTGCCACTCCCATGTGGTGAGAGGGAGCTCTGGCACGAGCTGACTGAGTCGCAGACTGTGACCAGGTCCAAGTAAAAGACGGGTAAATGCTGGAAGAAGACCCAAGGATTGGGCAACTCCATGAACAGGAATTGCATATCGCAACAGAGACCACTCACCTAACAGAAGAAATACATCAGAGCATACAACCTTGGTGGGGGCTCGACATAAAGGGTCTGAAAGTGGAAAGTCACTACCTGGGTGCGAAGGCACACCAGCATCAGCATGCCATCCTCAAGCGAGACACTCGGAACCACAGCAGTGAACCAGTGTTGCCTCTTGTCCCAGAAATACTCAATGAGCTTTCTCTGAGTGGTTGTGACAAAGCCAACAGGAAGGACCAAAGTGACCAGCTAGTACCACAACATGGTGGCCACCAGCTGGTTTATGACCAGCACTTGGAACAGTCCTATCCAACATTCTTGGCGAGCAGTCACCCCGGATTTCAACTCATGCCAATTCGCCAGCCAGGATTCCTCAACAGGGTAAAGATTGCTTGCATCCTCTACTCCCAGGTAGAGGAGGCAAGCGGTACTCCACATGAAGCACTGGAGTTCCTCTGGTGGGGGAGGGGGACCGACCAGAATTCCCAAACACTTGCTCCAGTTGATCATTGCGGAGGACACCACAGTGTAGACCTCCTGGCGCTTGTGCATCCTTCACGGTTCATCTGGGTCTGTTAACATGAGGAGCATGTCATCAACACATACTGAAGAACCACCTTCAACTGGGGACCACGCAAAGCCAAACCCAAAGGCTGTTTATGCAAGAGGTGTACCAATGGCTCCACCCAGAGAGAATACAGCTGCCTGGCGGGGGGCAACCCTGATGCTCTCCTCTCCCAAAGTGTAGGGGTGAGTCAGGGACCTGTTAACCTTCACCAGACACTCCGCAGCAGTGTACAGAAGTCGGCTCCAGGCCACAAAGTGCATCCGGAACCCAAAAGCTCGGAAAATCCTAGGCAGATCTTGTGATCCACTCTGTCGAATGCCTTTTCCTGATCAAGGCAGAGAAAGGCACTCAACAGGCCAGCCCTCTGGGAATAATGAATCACGTTCTGGACCAGGTGGACGTTGTCATGAATGCTCTGGCCCAGGATGGCGTAAGACTGGTGTTGAATTTAGTCACACACTGGAGCTTTAGACTTCGAGGTAAAGAGGCTTTATTCGTGATATCACGGGGAGCCAACGCTGACAGAAGGTCAGGTCTCCAATGAGTACAAAAACAAGGCAATACTTATACGAGCCGTTATAGATTGAGACAGTTGTTACAAGTAGATAAGCTCGTATAGTTTATCACATCCCCTTAAAGCAGGTCATATGACATGCCATAAGTCATAGTTCCACAACTTGTGGTTGCTGATATGTTATATTTAAGCTTTGGGTCAACATTGAATTAGCAGATTCTAAGCTTTCTACAGATATGCAACAATTTGTCACGTATGTCTTACTTGACCTATTTTCCCATCATTCCAACCTCTATTTCTAAGCTTTAGCTACTTTCTACATCTAATTGCTGTTGACACTTTAATTATTCTTCCACAACTGGTCTGGGTGAATCGTGTGATCCAGCACAAAACAAGGCAAGTCAAAAGCACCTTGGTGAGGATTTTGTAGTCCATGCTGAGGAGGGAGACCAGATGCCAGTTTTTTAACAAACGGAGATCCTCCCCACCCCCGTCTTAGGCCACAGAATAATGACTGCCCTGTGCCAAGAAATGGACATTTCTCTTATCATGTTACATTCCTCCAGTACCCAGGCATAGCCACCCCCCAGGATATCTCAGAGACCCTGAGGAACTCCACTGTCAGCTCATCCAGCCGTGGAGACTTGCCCCCCCCCCTAGAAAGCCAGTCAACTCCTCCATTCTCAGAGGGGGATCAAGCCTCTTGGCACCTTCAGGGCTGTCTTGCGGCAGGTCCTCCCACAAAACTTTACAATCTTCCTCATTGGATGGATCTGGAGAGAAGAGATCTGTATAGTAGTCTGTCACTTGGGTCCTGATGCTCATCACAGGATCCAAGACAAGGGATCTGTCATCAGCTAGCAGCACAGGGAGGTTGCTGGCAGACCTTGTGCCTTTTTTTCCAGCGAGTAGAAGAAGGGAGAGCCACAGTTCACATCCCGGAGGAATCAGATCCGATGAGATGCAGGTCACGGAGCATGGCCTTTTTTTTTGTACGCCTCCCACAGGGCTAGGTTTGCATCAGGCTGATCGAAACATGAGTCCACGTCGAGAACCTCCTTCTCCAACTCCTCAATCCTCAATTTCCGCCTCTTCGTCGACCCCCGTATGTACTGCTGACAGAAGATGCAGATGTGGGGTCTAGCCCACATCCCAACATTGCCTCAAGGAGGGGAAGACCCAGTTTCCTTCTCCAGCTGGTCTATAAGTGACAAAACGAGCCTGGAACTGCTTGTCTTCCAGCAGCAGGTTGTTAAAGTGCAGTATGCCAACATTACCCTGGCGCTGAACCGAATAAGCTCCGCCCATACCAGGTTGTGTTTGGAGAACGGCACCTGCTGCATGGAGACTTTCAGAACACTGGAGGCGTAAGCCCTGGAAACGTAGAGGCAGTTAATTGTGGGCACTCAATCCCTAGACCTCACAGAGGTGAAGGCAATGGAATCAGGATGTAGATTTCGCCAGGCGTCTCCCAAGTCAAAAGTCATGATTAAGTCAACGGCAGGAAATATACCATCATTCCTTCAGTGTTGCTGAGCCAAAATCCTGGAAATCAGCATTGTGGCTTGGGCTGCAGATGTTCAATTAAAAGTAGGAATGGGAAATAAATACTGGCCCAAAAAAATGAAGTGTACATCCCGCGAATGAATAAAAAATCCTGTAGTAGGACTTTAACCCACAACCTTCCAGAGGCGAGGGAGCTATTAATTGAATGACTGCTGCCACTTTTGTGATTGGTACTGGGTGGATATCTTTGTAGAATCAGATCATTTTGGTATTCTTGGAATTTTTTTGTTTTTATTTCATGTAACCAGCATTTTTCATTTCGTTTTATCACAGTTTTCCAGCGTGGGAGGTACAAAACAAACATACAGAATATCTCCAGTTCATCTACATAACCACTGACACTGAAACCTTTATGTGTTTGAAGTCAAAACAGGAAACCAGTGACTTACAGGAAACTGCTGTATTTGTTCAGATACACCCTGCTACTTAAAAATTAATTCATGCGATCAGAGCAAAGTTTTGAGTTCTGACCAACAACTGTGCTAAAAGCTAGAGCAACTTGCACTGAGCTAGTGTCAGTTTAAGTCCTGAAACACTTCAGTCAGATTACCTCTATACTCCAGGGAATACAAGTTAAGTTTAGACCTGCACCATTGTTTAATTTTTTAAGCCCTGAATCATAGAGTCGAGACGTCATAGAGATGCACAGCACGGAAACAGGCCTTTTGGTCCAACTTGTCCATGCCGACCAGATATCCTAAATAAATCTAGTC